TTCCGTTTCTTTGGCTTACAAATCGAAAATGCCATTAAGCATAATCGATTTGGAGAAGTCTTGTCTGTGTTTCTCCATCCATTACTTATCGCTCCTTTACTTTTCCATTTTCTTTTTTGCTTCCTGTTAATCTTGCTTCCTTTCTGAATTGCCAATTAGACAGCCAAGCCAATGGAAATCTGCCTCATATGCTAGAATTTTAAAATGTTGAAGCCTATACTAATTATGGTACCATCTTTCAGTAAGAATATAAGATTAATAAAGATAAGGGCTGAACGATGCTTTTTGCCTTTCCCGCTGTTCCTAAGGAAGAAAAGAGGCTACTTATCTGGCATAAAGCTAACAAAAATTTTAAAAACACCACTTAATTTTTGCAGTATACTCATTCAAGCCAAAAAAAAAATATTCAATGAATATAATTGAACACATATTTCCTGCTCGCAAGTGCAACTTTTGCTCCCTTAGTTGCCAGTGCCAAATCTGTGTGAGCCATTTAACCGCAGATACATACATTAAAAACGCTCCAAGAAACCCTGCTAGCCAAAGAAGGCCATTGGCAAGCTTAAGCTGGGAAACATTGGCCCCAGGCCATTACTTGAATATCCATTTACGGGGCAAGACAGGAAGCAACATTAGCTTTTAATTCGATCGTTTCCAAGCGCGCAGTGCCAGATTCCAGATTCCCACTGGCAGATGCATCTGGAGATGCAAATCTAGTTAAAGTGGCAGGCTGAGAGCGGGGCAGCCGGAGCTGATAATTGTGGTGCGCCAATAAAAAGAGAATTAAGCTAATTGCCAAATTTTCAAAATCCCCTCCCAAGAAGGCCAACAGAAATAGGAAGCTCTAGTTGGCAGAACAAAAAGACAAGAAAAAAAAAAGAATGATAAAAGTAGAACAAACGAAATGTGAATCTGCTGCAAGCGCACATGTTTCCAAAAACTTTTCTTCAATTTCAACCCAAATGGCACCCACTCCTCCACTTGGCCGTCCAACGTCTGCATTGCCATCGGAGGAGTACAAGTGAAATGTAATTAGAGCCAAAAATTGATAACACAGAAAAATGGCAAAAGGAAAATTTTCTGTTCACTGGGCTCGCAGCCAGCGAGTGTAATTAAAGCCTTGACTCAAACGATATTGTAGCTGCACGTCGAGGTCAGGCTTAAGATGGGCTTTCATGCCTTTGGAAACTAGGTCAGCAGCCGGTTGTCGTAATTATCTTAATTGATAGGTAACACACGCTCTCAATTAGCAAATCCTGGCTAAAATGGTACTGGAAGGTAATATGGGAAATAAACTAAAGAAATTTAAAATCACTATTAAGCTCTAAAAATAAGAGAATTTAGCTTGCTTGCAGAAAAACCATTTTTAAAGCAGTTTTATGAGTTAGCAACAGGTAGCTAATACTGATCAATATTTTTAATTATCTTTAGAATTATATCTACCGTATAAGGAAAAACTAATTCCTGCTCCAGATAATCCTTCCATAAATACATACAATTGTTTTGCACAAGATAAGACCTAAACTGCACGGAACCCTAGCCTAGTCATTTCCATCAAATTAAGCAATTTACCGGATTGCAAACTCAGCTGACGATTGCTTTACGAATAACTATGCTAAAATACATTGAAGTGCATAATGAAAACGTACACGGAGCGTAATTACTCCTAAGCGGGCTATTTAACCAAGGGCCTTACACTCGACTCACGCAGGCATGAATGTTCGTATATGTGAACGTTATTCAAGGCTTTAAGTAGGGGCCAAAAAACAATGTTTACGCCTAGACCCTGAAAAAAAAAAAAGGAAATTACAAACACACTGTATTCCGTGTATGTGTTAGATATGAAATATTTAAAACACAACGTTTCGGTAATAAAGCTCGCCCCAGTCTCTGCTCCATTCCCGGCGGTGCCCTCGTTATTTCAGCCCTCTGTCCCTCCTCTGTCCGTTCTGTCATTGAAAATGAGTGTAATTTATGTATTAGCATGTGCCAGAGTGTGTGTATGAGAGTGGGTATGTGAGCGAGTGTGTGTACCAGCCGCATAATAAAACATGCAAAAATATGCAAATTGCCGCAGTCAACGCGATGAACTTTCATTACGCCTTGTTCTCGTCACTCTAAAGACCATTTTCCGTTTCCAGCGACCATCCCAACCCTCCATCCTTCCGCCCTGGCAGTCAGCCCGGGAAAATCGATTAAATCACTTAAAGAGTTTATCGAACTTTAGGCCACACACAGTCAGAGAAACAGAGAAATCGCTGGAAAATCGTTCAAAGGACCCTCAAGACCCTTGTGTGAGAGAGGAACTCAAAATAGACACGGGGATGTGCATAATTTTTGCACGCTAGATTGTCATTTAAAATGAGTTAAGCCCGGCTGCAATTGCTGCAATGCGGAAAACTTTCCTGAGCTCCTCGGCCCGAGTTGAATTTGGGAGTCTAAGTCCTGGGTTGTCGTTGTCGTCGTCGTCAGGTAACTGGCGTTATAATGAGCAAACAATAAAAGCAAACGTCCCTGCACGAAACAATGACGGCGGACAGAAGGGGATGTCAGGATATATACACACACACAAACAAAAACCAATTAGATGCAACGACGACGAGGACGACGAAGGCCAAAAGTGCCAGCGCAACTTTTCGTGTCCTGTCGATGTTGCGACAAGTCCATCCACGCTGGGTCGATGGGTCGTCGGACTGCTGGGGGCAGGAGGTCCTGTCCCGTCATCCATTGTGCACCTTGTTAGCGAAAGCCAAAGAAAGCAGCACAGTCACAGTCAAACAAAACACGAAAAAACAGAAGCTTTTGCTAAATAAAACTAAAACAATGACAGCATTCGGTCGCCAAGCTAATTGCATTCTCATTGTTAATTACTTGCATTTAAGCAACAAATGGCAAAGGGAACTTTAAATCTAGGGAAATTCATAATTTTAATAATTTTTAAAGGGTTATTCATGATATGTTTTAGCAGAAAGCCTCCATATCCTTAATAAATAGATGATCAAAAGCTCTATAGGTTCCTTTATATATTAAACTGTATGCTTTATGTACCGACTTATTGGCTTAGATGGATACATATAATCTCTAAGCACAGACTTTTCTCCTGTTATTTCAATTTTCAAGATTTTTGATTTAAGGCCTCATCCTCTCAGCCTTCCCATTAACTCCTCTTGGGAAATTGTTTTTATTGGCCGTTAGCTTCACCTGTCCTTCGTCAACCCCCTCTTCGGCTTCCCCAATTCCGGGGATTTTTTGGTACTTCCCCCTAAAATGCGAGACGCTTTCACTTTTCACTCACCGCGTGACTTTTACAGCCTCTTAATTTAAGCACTCGCCTGGCTCTGAATAGGAGCCATATCCAGCAGGGAAAATTAATTTGTTGCAGACGACGCTTTTAATGTGGCTTTTTGTTGAATTAATGTAGCATTCGGTAGTGGCTGCTCGTTGGACCCCCTTGGTTCCCATTTCCCGGCACACGTTCTCGTCACGTAATTCGCATTTTCCATTCCGCTATTTCGGCGGAGCTGCCGTAACGCCACGCCCACGTGCCAGCACTGTAAATTTGATAGATTACACGGGGGCCAGGCCCAAAACACACGACCAAAAATCACAAAATGCGCTCAGCTTGGCAAGGCCATCAGCATGAAATTCTATTGAAATTGCGGCCCCCATGAAGCTCCTTCCCGAAAATCCATAAACATGCAATTTTCGGCTATGGTTTTGCATAAATCCAAGCCATGATGATAGCACCGAGAGATGTGACCTAAAAATAACACTTTGAATGTTGAGTTTTTTAGATTTTAAGGATTGATTTTAAGATATTGAATGTTTGATCAATTATTTTCGGATTGTATTCTTTTTATAAATATTTTTAAGTTAGAAAACTCTTAGGAAAGTCTAAATTTAAAATGTATTGTTATTATTTCTTAACAAACGTTGCTTTCTTCTTAATTCTTGAAAATATTTTTGTCTTAAAATTGAAGCTTTTCTTAGTTCGATTTCTCTGTACTTATTTTCCTGGTTATTTCAATATCAATATTAATATTTTATTCACACAAAAATCATTGATTTTGTTAAGTCTGCAATTCTCTTAATATATTTGTCTGGAGATCTAAATCTTCCATTGAGCCATTGGTGATTGCATGGCATTCAGGCTGAGGAGTTGTGTGGATATGGAGAAGTGCCTGGCAGTTCGATGCCTCCGTCAGTAAAGCCATTTCCGGCCAGACAATAAACGGGCGCTTGGCATTTCCTGTACTGTTCTGTTCTGTTGTGTTGTGTTGTTCGGCTTTTTCCATATTTCTTTGCCTCCTGCCTTTATTTCAGCGCACTGCTGGAGCTTGACAAGGACAAAGAAGAACGCCGAAGCGCCTGTGACAGGCGCCAGGCAATCCGCTGCACAAACAGAAATCAGAGCGACGAAATAAAAACAAGAAAATCTCATTTATCTTCTCGACTATGTGGCCGCAGGCGCATTCAATGCCTTTGCCGAGAAGGCATGTCAAAAGTTTCCCCTCACCTCCCCCGCGCAATGTTGTTGTCGTTTAGCTTAATGGAATTTGGCGCTAACATTTTTCCAGACAACAGGGCGTATGTGTGTGTGTGTGTGTTGACTTGAAGCAATTGATAAATACTTTATAATATTGCCAATGTATTTTCCTTTTTCGCCGGACACTTTAATGCATAATAAGTACAGGCGGAGAGTTTTTCAAGGGAAATTGGATCGGAAAATGTGCTATGTTGCAGGTAATGGTAACAGAATGTGGCACATAATTGACGTTTATCTGTGACATTGTTTGCCACATTTAAGTGGTGTGATGTTATTTCTTCATTTTTTAGCGACATGTCTCTGAAAGTTATTCAATTTATTTTGCTAATCTATGACAAAGCATATTTGATGGGTGTATCTCTTACGAATTGTAACAATTCCGAGCTGCACAGCTTGACCTGTATATTTAATAAACCTTTACTGAATTTAATTGTATTCATTTTCCTCTTTGCAGACAATGAACTGTATTCTGGAACCGTGGCGGACTTCAGCGGCAGCGATCCGATTATTTACAGGGAGCCACTGCAGACCGAGCAGTACGACAGCCTGAGTCTCAACGGTAAGTTGTCGCCGCGACGCGCGATTGTAGCCACTTGTGGTAATTGAAAAACGTCAAGGATCCTGTCAGGATGGCGCTTCCGCTTTATTAGCGCAATGCGGCTGGGTGTTTTCCGCTCCCCAGCCTCCTTCCGGTTGCAGCTGCCCCGCAACGTCCTGTCCCGATGTCCTGTCGAATGTCAGTTAGCGATTGCGTGCAATTGCCTTTTGCATATTTCAAGGGTCTCGGGGCCAGCTGGCGTTGCCATGTACGAGCTTCCATTAACTGAATCTGAATCTGAATAGACATGGCAGGTGCCACTGTCATTTGCTACCACGAAGAAGATGTGCGTCCAGACAGACTTCATAAATAATATTGTATGGCCGAAGAGGGGTCCTGCATTGCAATCTATGACTTGTGTAGTCCTGTTAAGGAGCTCTGAGATCTGTAAAAAGTACAGTACATATATACAACAATATCTTTTAATTGAGCAAGGTTTTCCCATACTTGATACGATTTTTAAACTTTAATGTAATTTTTTGTGAAAAAGACTTAATCGCACACACATCCTAGTCAGCCCCAATCCTCACTTAATGCATATCAATGAACCCATTCACATGTCCATCCATAAACTCTATATCACCGACTGATGTCACATAAAAATCCAGTAAGGACCCAAAAGCGTGCATCACAATTTCATGAAAATTGACGATACACGAAAAGGAAAGGCCATAAAAATGTTTACAATCTCGAAAACTATAAATAAATTTTGATGACTAAACTGTTTTTACTATTTTTTCGTCTCGTTTGTCGTTTTGTGCAGCGCCCAACTTTGTGAGCTCATTTACTCAGGGAGATTTTGTATATTTCTTCTTTCGGGAAACCGCTGTGGAGTTTATCAACTGTGGCAAGGTAAGTGGTTGTGGCAAGCGAAGTTTTCCAATCAATTGTAAGGACCTGAAATCAATGCCAAAAGACACACAAAATAAGCAGAAATACAAGCGCAACCGAAATCATACAAAATAACTGCTGATGTCTTGCATTTGTCATCGGTCTGCCCTGCAGATAGTCCTGGCCCCAAGCGAAACTGAATTAATATCTTATCTCTCCGTTATCCCTTCAGGCGATTTATTCGCGCGTTGCCCGCGTCTGCAAGTGGGACAAAGGTGGCCCGCATCGTTTCCGCAACCGCTGGACGTCCTTCCTCAAGTCCCGCCTCAACTGCTCCATTCCGGGCGATTATCCCTTTTACTTTAACGAAATCCGTAAGTTCTTTCTTTATTTATTACTATTAAATTTATTTTTAAACTTATTTTTGTAACCCCCAGAATCTGCTAGTAATCTGGTGGAGGGACAGTATGGCGCGATGAGCTCTAAGCTGATCTACGGAGTCTTCAATACGCCCACCAACTCCATTCCTGGCTCGGCGGTTTGTGCATTTGCCCTGCAGGTGAGTTTGTCATTGCATTGTTTTTTTTTTTTTCAAATTGAAAATTAAATTCTGTTGTATTTTTCCATCCACAGGACATCGCCGATACGTTCGAGGGCCAGTTCAAGGAGCAGAGCGGCATCAACTCCAACTGGCTGCCGGTAAACAATGCCAAGGTGAGTTCTTTCCTTAATCGCAACCCTAAACTTGCTTCGAGACCGCACTTAAGCGCAGCTGTTGGCCGGAAAATTTATGACTTACGGCCGCCGTGCCATAAAAATGTTGAGAAGAAAATGTATTCTCCGTTTGGCACAAAATTTGCATTTGCATCTCGAATGCTTTTGCCAATTTCCCACAGATGACTGCACATGTCGCCATCGATTTGTGGTTTTTCCTAAAATGGGGAATTTTGGGGAAGCCAAGGATTGCATATAATTCTTTTTTATTAAACGGCTTTGAAATACTTAATACTAAATATTCCTTTTCATCCTTTCTCTTGTAGGTTCCCGATCCGCGTCCTGGCTCCTGTCACAACGATTCGAGAACGCTTCCGGATCCCACACTAAACTTCATCAAAACGCATTCGCTAATGGACGAGAATGTGCGGGCATTTTTCAGTCAACCGATTTTGGTCCGGACGAGCACCATGTGAGTAACTGCAGTCCAGCATATTTCGTTGCTTAGTCACTTCCGTTTCCTGTGAGAGAGAGAGAGAGAGGGATTTTTTGAAAATATAAATCTGCAGGGAACCAAGTGGTCAACAGTGACCCGGTTTAGGGGTTTTATTTTTCAGAAAAGTTTTTTTGTTGGACATCCAAAACGTGACTCTTAATTTTGAAAGCTTGAACAGACTTTGCTTTGTTTTTTGGTTGCTTAATAAAATATTTAGTTATATTTATAAAAATTTTTCTTATTATTTTCCTTATTATTTCCCTCACTATATTTTCAACTAGCAAAGTTAATCCTGCCAAGAATTGACCATCATAGGGGTTCATGCACTCAAATGCTGCAGCATCTGTTCCACTTTATGGAAATTTCCTCTAAAGGTGTTAGTCAGCGCAAATAACCGTAAACCAAAGCAATCTGAATGGCGGCAAGTGGGGGCTGGGCGGAAAATGCAGGAAATGTTATCATAAATTATTTGCCAACGATTTCGCTCACCACCAAGCCACCCTTTTGGCCTGAGGGGAAAATTTAAAAATTCAATTTGGCAACTTTTCCATGTAATTGAGCCACAATTACGGGGCGAAGAACAGAACAGCGCTGAAATGTATGCTGGCATAGCGGTGAAACTTTAAAGAGGGCTAAATCATAAGCGAGCCACTGAGCATTGCTCTCGACACTGAACAAGTGGTGCCGGTTGGGCACAGTGGGTTGAGAGATTTCAATAAAATATAGGATATATTTCCGCAGCATTCTTATATATTTTATAAAATTTTCTAAACTAAAATAACTTGTTCTGAAAAGTTAAAAGAAGAAAGAGTTGTATGAAGAGCAGTCTTAATGCTGAATAAGACATATATATATCTGAAAAACTATAAAGTAAAATATCTTCTCTGGTTTTAAGCTATAAGCTTCCTTTAGCAATATGTGTTGGCCTCATTTTGATATTAAACTTTGATCCATATAAATGCGAGCACGTTTATCATTGGGCCTAGAAAAGCCTCAATGTTTTTCTTTTTACCAAAAAATGCCGTATGAATACCGTATTGAATGGAAAGAGAGCTTGTACCTGGCTCTCCACTGGCACCACTGTATCCTGTTCTGTTCGAGGTGAATGTGGGGTGTGGAGATGGTAATGGTGGCAGGGCAGCTGCCTTTTGCGATAGTTTGGAGCAAACGAAGCGAACCAGCCAGAAGGAAATGCATGGATGCGCCGAGGAGGCACCCCGTAACGAAAATATGTATGCACAACTGAATAAATTAGAATGAAATATGGAACACGTAGCAACAACGCAGACTGCCGCCGACCTGCCGCTCCTCCAGGGCTCCCTACGCATCCGCATCCGCATCTGCAGCCCTGCATACCCTGAACAATTTTGTGTGCCACATGAGTACACCACAACAAATGCAAGGGCTAGTGTGCGTCGTTGTGGTGTGTGCGTGTGTGTGTGGGTGGAAGAAGCGAGCGGCCACTTTCTGCAACTGACTCATTGCATTTTGGGACGGATGCGGATGCGGGAACTGGAACAGGACGAGGGCGTGCATCGGAATTTAATCAAGAGCCCGGGACACTCAATTGAAAGCATAAAAATGCGCACAAGTTACTACCCCAAAATGGTTGTGTGTTGCCAAACTATTCTCATCTCGGCTGCTCAGCCAAAAAAGATTGCATTAAATTCTGATTCAGTAGCTGGAATCACGACTTGGCGTCATCGCCATTCCATAAATCACTCCACAAACTAGGTCAAATATGTACGGAGGCCGCGTAATCAAGTGGCAGTCAATATTTAATCATCTCTAATGATGCGGGCCAATACAAATGGATGTAAAATGCATAAACAGCCACTAATATTATCCACTTTAATTCAAAGAATTAAATTATTATAGTCGTTATAAGCAGTTCATTGTTATGGCTTTGGGAAGCCATGTTCGTTTATGGGTGTTAATGTTCATGATTATTAAAGATTGTTTTAATAGTAAGTGCTATCAGGATAAACACTAATATTATATAGCAGGACATCTACTCAAATTGGTTTTGATTTTTAATTAAAGTAAATGTCACAACAAAACTTTAGTTAATGAAGTAATTAGTTTACACAAAATGCACAAAAATGCATACACTAAACAAATCCTTATTAAAATCCTTAAATACCTGAGTTCTACCACCAACCTTAACTTGCGAAATTTACATCAAAGCCTGCCTAAGTCGCGGCACATCTCTAATGGCTTAACAGCCTTTTTTTGAGCCAGGTCAAGCTCTTTGTGCCAAGACAGTTTTGACAGGAGAATAAATTTATCATATTTTCGATTTGAATTCAGACAATACGCATAAATTATATATATATATTCGACAGCGATTCAAAACCATTCGAAATGGAAGGAAATGCCGCATAAATCGGGCCTCGAAAATGTGCGGGGATTTATTGAACGCAAATGACAAAATCAAATCAAAAATGTCCCCCCGAATTTATGGCATTGGGCCGCAGAAACATACATAAATTTATTATAATTTCTTTGGGGTCCGGCTATTTCCTGCGAATGCTCCCGAGTGGCTCTGACTGTGTGTCTGTGGGGGCGTGGCACAAATAAATCTGGACGAGACGAAGGAGAAGGAGATGATGATGATGATGATGATTTGCATACTACTAGCTTGGCCTGGCCTGGCGAAAGTTTTGAGGCAAGTCGAAAGTCGAGACAAGGAGAGAAAGAGAGAGCGTCTCGGCAAAAGTTGAATGTCCCAGCATGTTGGCAGCTCGGGCTCCGTTACAAATTGCTTCCTGACGCAGACCGGAAGCATCCCATATTCAACCGATTTCTGCCAGCTGGCTGACCATATCCCGTCGGCATCTTCCTGTCCCAAGGTGTATCGCCTGTGTATCGCATTGTCCTTAACGTGCTCTTATCGCCTTCAGTTTGGGGGCCAGCCGAGCAGAGGTGGACAACTAACGACTGGACCAACTGACTGACTTCCTTTACATCCTCCGTACTCCTGGCATTTGTCTGCCTTTTGCCTTTGTTGCTGTCATCGCCGGCAGACGCTCCTCTCCCTCTTTGAACTCATCGAAGCGATACAAAAAGTTGGCAACATTTTCGTAAGTTTCAATTGCCAGGACTTTGGACTTTGACCCGGCCCAGGACGTGGTCCTGGCTGCTTTTTAAATATTTCTTTGCTGGCCTTACTTGTTTTGCATATGCTCCACCATGGCATTTTAGCCTTGATTATATATATACTTTTCAATTTCGAGTTTAGCTCAAATTGTTTGTTGGTTTCTTAAATAATTTAATTTCCCCGAAAAGCTAATTTTATTTATGTAAACTCTTGTTGTTTGTTTTAATATTTCATTTAAAATGAAATGATAATTATTTTTTAACATAAATTCCATTCTAGTTTTGCTTAAATTCAAAAATCTGTTACAGGAAACAAAACGGCTTGACACGACAACCAACTAAACACAAATTAGTTTTCAAAAACCCAACAAATTCCATCCAACTTGTTCGCAGGAAATGTAAACTTTATTTAATGAATTATTCCAAAATATGTAGAGCAATTTGGGAAATTGTTGCTGCAAAGCCCACCCAGCAACAAGATTAGTTAATTAACAATAAAAATAAAAAAGAATAGCAGAGCAATGGGACATGGAGTGGCCCCATTGTAACTTCCATTCTGGCTGCCAGACATTTGCATTTAAATCGAGGCAGAAGGCATGACAGCAGCAGAAGCACCACCACTGGACACGACCGGCCGCAAAACAGCAGAGGGGCGGACGCCGCTTTTGCGGTGAAATCAGAGGGAAATTCTCGTTTTTATTTCATCTACGACTTCTTTGTTGTTGTTCGGAATATGCTTTTTACATATACAAAACATAAAAAAGGGACAAAACTAGTAGTTGCAGCACCGAATGTTGCCACTCATGTTGCACTGCTAACCAGTCGTCCCCGGCCACAATGCCGCTGCGGTCCCTTCTGTCCATTATTAATGGACGTCTAACCGAAATGACTGAAGCCTGTCCGTCCGTCCGTACGTTGTCAGAAAAACAAGCGAAAACATTGTCGGAAAATAAGCATTGACATTCTGTCGTTGGCTTATATCAAACCACCAGAGTTTTTGATCAAAGAACAATTAGATCTAAACGAAATGGAATGAACGAATAGCAAAAGTAATTAAGGAGTCGATAGGAAAGGTCTGTAGTTGAATATATTTTGGATTATATAAATATTATTGTATATATTCCATAGCAAATTGTAAATAATCAACTTGAACTTGTGATATTTCAGCTACCGCTTCACCCAAATCGCTGTAGATGCTCAAATCAAGACTCCTGGAGGAAAGACCTATGATGTTATTTTTGTGGGAACAGGTAAGTCTTACAATATACATTAAAAATATATACATTTTATAATAATCCCCACAATAGATCACGGCAAGATCATCAAATCAGTGAATGCCGAATCTGCCGATTCCGCTGACAAAGTCACATCCGTTGTCATCGAGGAGATTGATGTGCTGACCAAGAGCGAACCCATTCGTAACCTGGAGATCGTTAGGACCATGCAGTACGGTGAGTGAAGTTAATTAATATATATCCAATGGTACACAATATAAGTGCGGTACTCAATTCTCATTAAAATTCGCAGATCAACCGAAAGATGGCAGCTACGATGATGGCAAATTAATCATTGTGACGGACAGCCAGGTGGTGGCCATACAACTGCATCGCTGTCACAATGACAAAATTACCAGCTGCAGGTGAGTGTCAGACCCGACTCCTCATCCCTCCCTCCCTTACATCCCATTTCGACCTCGCAACATACTCCAGACAATGGCATTTTTATTATCATGTAACAATTTGCGTGTCGCCTGTCTGGCACTTGACTGCCTCAATATGCCATATATTCGTGGAGCTTTTTGTTCTATCCACTTTTCATTTTGGCTTTTGTTACACAGAAACAAATGGAAAATATCAGACTATTTGCTAGTTATTTATTGATACAGCATTTTAAATGCAAAGACATCTTATATGTTCCCAAAAAGGACTTTCCGTTGTTTATTAACCACTAAAAAAAATGGGAAACTCCAGCTATATTTTCCAACTCACTTTTACTATTTTTTCTCTGCATTTATCTTATTTATCCACCGTTGTTCTCCACCTTCTTCCCCACAGCGAATGCGTCGCATTGCAGGATCCGTACTGCGCCTGGGACAAAATTGCTGGCAAGTGCCGCTCCCATGGCGCTCCACGGTGGCTGGAGGAGAACTATTTCTACCAGAATGTGGCCACCGGCCAGCACGCAGCCTGTCCCTCGGGTAAGTAAACGAAGTGGCCGACTAGTTTCCCTGGAATTCTTGATACTAAATCCGATTTGCTCTCGCACAGGCAAAATAAATTCAAAGGATGCCAATGCCGGGGAGCAGAAGGGCTTCCGGAACGACATGGATTTGTTGGACTCACGGCGCCAGAGCAAGGATCAGGAAATCATCGACAATATTGATAAGAACTTTGAAGGTGATTTACCTCTTGCATACTGTATTTATATCATATTTTCGTTGCACTCGTTCTTTTTGTATTATGCACGTACTTTTGCTTGTCAATTTACCCGAAGAAGATTTTTCATCTTCCGACCTTTGCCTGCTTCCTACTCCTGCTGAGTCCCGTGTTACCTGTTGTCTTCATCGCCAATCACATTTTCATTTTGCGCGGATTCCCAGAGCTCCGTCTGTCGGGTTATTGCCACTTTATGTCATTCAGCTCCCATTATAAATGCTAGCTTCTGGCACTTTATTTTAAAGGGAAATTCTTCCTTCCTTTTATTTGCTGCAATTTTGTGTTTAATACAGTTGCTGTTTATAAAATATAGAACTATCTCTAAAAGATATCTTCTCTCGCCTTTAAGATTAAGCCTAAGCTTTTTATTTTTTTGTTTACCAATAAACCTTACCAATATTTATAGCTACCTGTACTTGCTGTTGTACCTTTGTACTAACTATTATTCATATTTTTCTTATCTTTCTTTCCTTATGATTTCTGAACGCTTCCGTGCGTTCTAAATTCGATGTTTGGATGTTTATTGATGTCGTTGCAAATAATGGACCAACCTCCATTAAACCAATCCCACACTGAAAACCCAACACAACAAACCACACATGTTTGGTGTGCATTAAACTGTTGTTGTTGTTGAATGTTTTGCCTAATGCACACTACTGTACCGATGCGAAACGAACCTTATTCATGACCACATAAATCCGATAATTTGCTAATCGAAGGACCCCAAATTTCCCCAGATATAATCAATGCCCAGTATACAGTGGAGACCCTGGTAATGGCCGTGCTGGCGGGTTCGATCTTCTCGCTGCTCGTCGGCTTCTTCACGGGCTACTTCTGTGGTCGACGCTGCCACAAGGACGAGGATGATAATCTGCCATATCCGGACACGGAGTACGAGTACTTTGAGCAGCGACAAAATGTCAATAGGTGAGTTGGAATTTTCCACAACTCCCGAACTTGATAAAAAAAAATACTATCTCCTTTACAGCTTCCCCTCGTCATGCCGCATCCAGCAGGAGCCTAAGCTGCTGCCCCAGGTGGAGGAGGTGACGTATGCAGAGCCAGTGCTGCTGCCCCAGCCGCCGCCACCGAACAAGATGCACTCACCGAAGAATACGCTGCGCAAGCCGCCCATGCACCAGATGCACCAAGGCCCCAACTCGGAGACACTCTTCCAGTTCCAGCCCGATGGCTACAATACCCAGCAGTCGTATCGCGGACGCGATAACTTTGGCACGCTGCGCTCACACCAGGTGATGGTGAGTATCGATGCTGTCCAGGCGGCAGGATATCGCTTTTCCTTATTTAAAATGTTGTTTCATTTGCAGGGCGACAACTATAGGCGCGGCGATGGCTTTTCCACCACCCGCAGCGTCAAGAAGGTGAGCTGAGTCTGGCTTCTCCACCGATCTGGGAGGAGAGCAGACGGATCTTTTTCATTTGCAACTATCGTATCATATTACTATTAATACTACTACTACTAATCTCTAACCTTAATCATTGCGCTCTTTTCGATGTTGTTCGACATTTTTGACACTACGTACATAGTTATCGAGAGTCCTTGTGCTGCGCTTGTATTTGAACTGTATTGAACTCTTTCTCTCTCTCTCCTCACACAATCGTCGATTGGTGTATTTCTTAGCCTCACCTCTTCAGCTTGTTTATCGTGTCTCCTCTGAGTGTGTGTGTGTGCGAGACCCACCCAAGTGTGGTTTATCGTATATGTATTCTGTATTATATAGCACCAAGTCGCTTAATTATAGTATCTCATCTTCATAGCCCACATATATTGTGTATATCTTGTTGTAGTTTGTGTTGTTGTGTGTTGTATACTATTACTGTTATTATTTGCATGCTTATTTTTTGAAGCTTATGCTGAAATATTAGCTGGAGTTTTCCCTGAGAGATATTTTTTATTTAAAGTCTCTGATATGCCACATGTTAATTTAACCCTTTAGGACCACTTTCCACAGTAATGGAAGAAATTGCATATTTTTTTCTAGAGTTGTTTATGCCTTCTAAACTGAAATATGCTTCTCCACCTTATTAAGCATATATTCTTAACTGCTAGAAAATATTTAAATATTTGGAATTGTGAATAATTGTGGGGCCTAGAGGGTTAAATAATAATAATTCGTATCATTACAATAATCTATATGAATATAAATAAGTAGGGAATCTATTATTTATTTCTTTAGATACACATTTGGTTTAAAGCTTAAATTTTAAAATGAAATTAAAGATTCAATATATTCACAAGTACAAATTCTTAGCGTCTGACTATTCTTCATTATTCATTTCAAAACTATTGTAAATGTAAGTTCCTGGGACCAAAATTAACTTTCCCTTCCCTAAATTTGATCTTTTGCCGCTTTGTATGGGTTTACTATATAAAAATGTTTCTTTTATAATTACAATTCCTGTAATCATGTTACCTAACCCATCACATAAACTCATCGACCTGATCTCCATTAGGTGCATGCTAAGATACCATCATCTTCATCTCGATCCCTCCATATTTCGCTTATATTCTTTGGCATTTGGGTTCTGCGTTCAAGCTGGAAATACACCAATCGTTCGAATCGAGTCGGGTTCTTCAACTATTTCCATCTCTACTTAAGCATTTTGTATAGTTCATTTCACATTTACTTCTTCAGTCCAGAGAGACACTTTCCCATCGATACTAACAACCTCTTACAAACTCAAAACAAAGACAAACAAATACCGAAAAAAAAAGAAAACGAAAAACAAAAAATCTATCTCTATCTTTTCTCTCTTCTTCTTCCCCTTTTTTCATTAGGTTTACCTTTGAGACGGGAGTGGGGCGGCTGAAACCAGTCAGGGACTAATTACCCAAAATATGGTAAATACTTATTTATAACTAAAGCTGACTTGAGTTCACTTTTAATTTTAGTTTATATTTATTTATTATTATTATTTATTTATTTTTCGACTATCCCTTTTTTGGTTTTTGGTTAGTTTTTTGGTTTTTTTTGTGGGGCTTCGTTTGCTGAATATTATTAATCTGGAAAATTTGGAATTTTGCTCAAAAGCTGCAATATGGAAGCTCTCTTCGCAACGAGCTCAACCGAAATTCGCTAGGCAAAAAGTAATTTTCGAAAAACAAATCTTTACGGTTTTTGCTCTTTGTTAAATTTTTTGAAAATTTTTGGAGCACCGTTGCAAAGTTTAGTTTTCAATTTATCAATAGATTTTTTTAGGCACTGTTGTTGCAGAAGCTTTGTTCTTTTCTCTCTCTCTCTCTGCTGTCTATAACTATCTTACTCTCTTCACTCACATTTGTTTTTGATTTGACATATGACACTTTATCGAATGCCAAGAAATAATTTATCGATACAAGAATCGGTCAATCGATCAGTCCAGCCCAGTCAGCCATCCCGCGCCCAGCTCGCCTGCTCGCCAGCGTGTCCTTCAGCCTCTCTCATTCCCTGATCCCAGACCTCTGAGTTCCGTGCTTTTCGATACCAGATCTCTCCTGCATGGGCGCCAAATTCCACCTATTAATCAAGTCCTTCCAGGATGTGTGTGTGTGCGTTAGAAACAAATATGACACATTACCCGGTCACATACATTTATATAAGTAACCTGCAATAATTAAACTATTCCCCATACTTAAATACCCTGTATTTGTTAAGCTTCTTATTTAATTAATGAAATATGCTCGACACTCGACATTTTCTGTTTGCTTGCCGAAATTTCAAATGAAAACCAATTGGAGGAAACTGTATTGCCAGCTGAGAAAGTAAACTAAAAACTACAAATTAAGAAACTAAAAACCCTAGATGACATCTTAATTTAACCAAAATTATTATTTGGTTTGCTAGAACCGCAGACACACACACAAAAATTGGCCTTGGCTTGAGAGCAAAGATTGACTGCGAACGTGTAATTTTGAAGCAAATTAGCGTTATCCTTTCTTCTTGTGTTGTTTGGTTGGTTTCCTCAACATATTTACGTAACTCTTACGAAACTTGATTCTTGAATATATAGTATGTAAAAGCTGAGAAATTGATAAACACTCCAACCCCCTATATATAGGCTGTAAACAACACAAACACACGTAATAGAAGTCTTGGTCGCGCAAGAAGACAGCCGCCCCGTCATGGCATTGGTAAGTGTAATCCTTGTGTTAAGTTATAGAGTTATATACCGGATAACTGGCCAACCAGAGATACCCACAGGACACAGAACACAGAACACAGAACACACCAACACCACCCACAGACTCTGTCGGCGGCTCTACCTCCTGCTCCTTCTCTACTCCCTCTCCTTCTCTACCTCTCTCTCTATATGTCTCTGATCGATCTCTTTGGTTCGAGACCCTTATGATGGGTTGGACAGCCCTCTGTTGGGGCATCCCTTCAAAATTGCATTCTTAAACCTAAACTTTACCTTAAACTACTCCTAAAGAGTAAAACAACAATATTATTTTCGTGTGCTCTTGTTTTTTTTATTTACTATTTTTACCATATAACTTGATATATTAAGTTGATACTTGCGTGTAAGAGTAGTTGCTGTGTGAGTGTTTATGTGCATGTTGCGGCAGACTCCTCGGTGTTGTGCATATGCATCCCTAGCCTCTCAGTGTGTTACCTTCTCAGACCCGATGCAACATGCACCCAAGCACCCATGCCCATGGACCCCTGGACCTCGAACCCAGCTAATCCGTGTGTCTTTGTGCTCTTCCAGTAACTCAACACCGCTCCAATAGCCCCCAGCAGCAGCCGCAGCAGCAACAGCAGCAGCCCCAACCGTCACACTCCAGTTCCGGCTCCTCACCCGTAATGTCCAACAGCAGCAGCAGTCCGGCCCCGCCATCCAGCAGCCCCAGTCCGCAGGAGAGCCCCAAGAACTGCAGCTACATCTACCGTGATTGATTGATATGCAACACCAAATCGATGCCACTCATCCAGGCCCAGCCCACGCACCCACTACCGCTCCCGATTCCGCTCCCAGTCCAGCAGCAGCAACAGCACCAGCACCAGCAGCATTTCGCCAAAAGTTCGATTTGCGGCAGGACATATGCCAAGGCCAAGTCCATGCCGGTGACGCCCGTTCAGCCGCAGTCGCCGCTGGAGGAGACGCCCTCCTATGAGCTATACGAACGACATGCTCACTCCGATGCCCACGGCCACTCGGACTTCGATGAGGACTTGGAGGACACCTCATCGCTGGCCATGATCACACCGCCGCCGCCCTATGACACGCCCCATCTTCTTGCCTCGCCTCCAGTGCCGCCGCCCCGTCGCTTTCGCTTCGGCAACCGTGAGTTGTTTAGCATGAGTCCTGCTGGCGGTGGTGCCACTCCCACAACCTCCAGCACTGCCATAACGCCCACAAAGCTAAGTGCAGCGGCGGCGGCCATGTTTGCCGCCCCGCAAATGGCCACGCAGCTCAACAGGAAATGGCGGCGGCGAAGGAGGAATAGTAGCTCCGGCGACTCCAAGGAACTGGACAAGCTGGTGCTGCAGTCAGTCGATTGGGATGAGAACGAGATGTACTAGCAGACAAGCCGGAGATATAAGCACTTTTAAGAGAAAGAATTAGATAAGTTTTGAAAAGGAGCATAAACTTTCTTCGAATTCGAATTAAAGGCTAGGGGATTCCCAGCTTAAGTGCTTTTATAAGTAGAAGAAACCCGGTTTGTTTTAAGGTGGTATTAAAAATAATTAAATAACTTTAAAAATGTCCACGATTTACAAAGGAGAACTACATTTAGACTTATTTTATTTTTCAAATGAAATTTTTCATGCACAACTTTTGTGTATTTTAATACTTTTAATTATATTTAAAACCACCTTAAATAGTACACAAGACTCAATCGCTAGGGGCGCCTGCAATTTACACTGTGACTTATGACTGGGGCTGATTATAATACCCCTTATCCTCAACTACCCTCGCTCGCCCTTCATTTAACCAAAAGTTGCAATCAGACAAAAGCTTGCTAGGAGATTTGCATGGGGACTTACTTACACAAAAACCCAGAAAGCCAGAGAGAAGTTATACACGAACTTTATAATTATATAGCCTTTATACATATACCCAGATCTGCTAAGTATACAAAAGCATAACATATAGCATACGTATGACTCTTTATATACAAACATGATATATATAGACACGGTTAAAAAGTAACGCTAAATTAGAGCTGCAAATGATATTGTTAATTACCAATTTGAGCAGAGTCAACACACTTGTAAATATTAAACATAGAAAGGACGAAAGGGACGTAGGCTAAGCAAACCTTATTCGAGTAGAGTGTACGCGATATACAAGATTTTTTGCATTTAACCCTGAGAGAAAAGGAAAATAGAAGAAATTTACATGGCAAGACAAAAAAACAAAAACGAAAAACGCTTATTACTGATTTACACCAGACAAAACGAAAGAAATTAACTACCAAAATACGTGTAGGAGGAAGGCAAACAAATTAGTCGTAAGCCGTCAGAAATCGAGTAACTAAGTAGGGTTTTCCGTTGTCAATTTTCGTTTGCTGAGCCCCCTGCTACTCTACTCTTCATGAATTTTCTGCTTCAGTCTCATGTAGGAAAGTGTAAATTATGTACAGGACTATATACGCATTATATTCAACCGATCTGTACAGAAATCAGTATGTGCGATATGTGCCATAATCGGGTGATTGGGCGCCTAACATTGGGCCCACATCCATTTTTAGTTAGTTCTTATTTGTTTGCATTGGTTCGGGATAATCCCTTAATCGCTATCCATGTATATATACGAATATATATTAGGAAGGACACACAAATTTTATGTGACGTGATCGATCAAAATTTAGTGAAAGCATTACAACTAAACATTAGCCTAGCCACATAGATTTTGTATTATAGATCAGATCGGAGCAGAGCAGAACAGAAGGAAAAGGAAAAGGAACTTTTGAAAATATTTTCTCTAGGGGCATTGCTAGTGTTGTTCTCGTAATACATAGAAAGTATGTTAGAAAGTAGACTAAGCTAACTGATATTCAATATTTTGTATGAGAACCATTCAAGTCATCATCCGATCAATCTTGGAAATTGCGTTGCAAGACGATTAAAGAAAGCGTAGAAATATCTAAATCAAAGCAAATGTGTAAACGGCAAAAAACAGTAGCGTTTAAAATAGAAAATAAATACAAGGACACTGAAACACTTGCATACGTATATAAATACTTAATGCAGCTGCAATTTTATGCTTTTATATGCAATTTTACTTTTTTACAAAATGTATACAACCGAAGCAACCAACCGCAGAATGAGGAATCGAAAAGCCATTATTAGAAAAGCAAGAAAGCAAGATTCTATATAATTTAGACAGCCAAAGATATAATTAATTATTAATTATTTGTACTGTGTTTTAATTAGTTTTATTTGTAAATATATATCTCATTTAATTTAAATTAAAAATTAAAGTGTACTGCCCTTAAGCATTTACAGTCTTTCGTCTAGATAGTTTCCGTTTCGGTTTATTTAGTTTTTTAATCCCTCGTTTTTCGGTATTCGTTAGAAAGTGTTTTAAGTACTTTAAAAAGCAATACAAACACGTAAACATATAACTCGTAAGCAACAAGAGATAACAACGTAAGAGTCGGACACTTAGAGTAGCTGCAGATGGATAAACATAGAAGTTTGAACTAATTCTAGATCTACATCAACTAATCATACAATTTCATACAAGTATTACTGAATCAGATCATTAACTTTTATACACTTTACCATTTACATATATATACAACAACAGCAACAAGCAAACTGAATGCCGATTACCGATTATTTGATATATACAAGACGAGCAGTCTAACGTAATTGTAATACGAGGCCCTGGCTACGGCTACAATTGAACGGTTTTACACTGAATAATGCCTGCAGACATAAACCAGCAGAGAATCCATGAATATATATATACTTATACATAACTATATAGATGAACCATACACTTATTAGGTACTTTAGACGAGAGATTCTCTAGAAACGCTTTTAAATTGAAGGAAAACGAAAAGGAAAAACACAAAAAAAAGTAATAAACAAAGAAAACAAAAGAATTAAGCAAAGTATTTTATTAAAAACACTCAACAAAGAAATGGCAGAGTCAAAAAAGCAAACAAAAAAATCTATAAATTTCTAAAACACTTTCCGGAAAGGTTACACTTTTGGTAAACAAGAAAACCAATTCTGCAACTTTTTAAGAATAACAGAAACTGGGGTTGAGATTGAGAACATACTTTAAAGATAATTATAAGCTAATGGAAAACGATTTTTAACTTTCTCCGAATAAGACAAAAACAATTATTACCTACAGATTGTAGCCGGCGCATTCATATTTGCTAATTAGCAACTTATTAAAATATAAAAAGAACAAGCAACATTTAAGGAATTAGAGCAGAAAGCAGGAACCCCAAAACGGAAAAGAATTAAAATATATAAAAACCATTAGGAACGAAGGAAATGAATCCTTGACATGACACACACTCAAGTATTCATTTTTTCCATTAAGAACGATATATATTCAAGTGCTTCTTACATAAAATAAAAATAAATATAATATATATAAAACCGAAAAAAAAGAAAACAAAAATATATGAATGATTAAAGGATAGATATTATTACGAGCAGGCAGGCATTACATTATAAAAATACCTACTAACTAGGCTAAGGCATTTACGATTAACTTGACTCTTATTAACTGTATTATTATTATTATTATTGTTTTTGGGAAAACGAGCGAACTATTACAGATAAAACTGAAATCAGATCACTGAGCGGATTTAGGCTAAGCATAACGTAACGTAACGTAATAACTATGTACGATATCTGGTTCCGTTTGGTTTTATAATTTCTAAGTAGACAGCTCTCCATCTCTCTTTCTACGCAAATAGTATAATTACGAACACACACTGACACGTAATCGATGCATTTTACTTTCCCGAGAGTTATGCGAGTTCACGAATTCAATTTATATAATTATGTTAAGATTTTATAACGCAACAACAACCAGCCTAACGTATGCATTACTATTACGCGAAACTCTGTAAATACTTCACCAAAGCAAATAAAATATTCCTTCATTAAAGCAAAAATAAACCAAAAAAAGATCCATAACTCAAGACGATTACCATTCACCGCTTGGTTCCACGTTCCACTACCCAAACAATCCAGAAGATGCTTATCGATTAGGAGTTATCAAAGGAAATATAGGAGCCATATGACACGAGTATGTTATCCATTCTTTAGCGGTTACAAATACGTAAGGATAAATTTAAATTGTTGACAAATGTAGCGCAAGAACGTAATGAGTAACACAAAATGTAATGAAAGTCCCCAAGAAAAGCGAATAACAAATATTTAACCAAATAAGTTACGAAAGTTAGACACAAAAAACAAAAAAAATAAAAACAAAAAACGGTACTTCCAAGCAACTATAGAGCTATACAGCTAGCCACTTTAATCGATGCGAACTATAAACTATATGAATTGAACTTCCTCCTCCTCCTTTCCAAGCCCCCACACACAAACACACACTGAGAAAAAAACAAATTACGAATAACACAGTCCACCCTCTCTCCAAGCAGGAATTCCTTGTATTTTATTTGGATTTCGTTTGAAAGATAATAAACACACATCTAATTATTCGAGCTGCGAAATAATGAATAAGATCTACAGCATCAAGGAGCTAATTAAACAACAACAACAACAAAAACAACAACAAATTGTTAGTAAAAAGACTGAGCTACAAAATATACAAGAAAAAAACTAAAACAAAACAATGAAAAATGAAAAGTAAATAACTGAAATCAGAACTCAGTAAGAAACTTTGATTCAGTGAAAGAACATACATAATTAATGTGCATTTTTGGTAAACGATTTTTGAGTAGAGAACGCCATCCGGGAGCTAGGAGTTCGTTTCATTCGCATATAATTTGAACGAGTCCTTAATTAGTTGTAAAGTTCCTAAAACTAAACCCGCAGGCGACGGCAACCAATCATGATGGCTCAATCAGTGCCACCAAGCCATGTTCAATTATGCATCTATTACACAAAAAGGAACAAGGACTTTTGCATTTCTTTAATGGCATTTTATGAGGTTTATAGTCCTAGTCGAAGGGAGCTGCTAAATACATACATACGTAATGAGACACTCTTCGTTTTTGGGTTCTGAATTTTTGGATTTGAATTAAGAGGCTTCCTTTCTTTGGGCCACTGCCACAGCGCCACAGCATAATCGAGATTAAAATACCTAGAAAGAATATATAAACATATACATATATACGTATATAGACACAAGTATATATGCATACCACTTGCTTTTAGCTTTCCTAGACTCTGATTTCCACACTCGAACGTACTGTACGTAAGCTGCGCGTCATATAGAGGAGAGATAGTCGGTCTCAGATACGAATTAATAATCAAACTCAAGCGGATAGAATTGCTGCTGCGAGGCCCCAGATCCGATTCGGTCCAAGACACAACAATTAACTCCCGCAACCCACAAACCAAACGGATCGATCCGGAGAAAACCATTCGAAAGCAAAGCCAATACAACTCACTCACACCCACACTCACACGTTTAACATACAGAGAAATCGATAACAAAAAATAGAAAACAAAAAGAAAAAACCGCATATTATTAATTATTATTATATTGTATTATTATAACAGAAATATTTAGATGAAATGACGATTCTTAATTATAACACATTATTATAGATACATACTGAACAAGCCGATACAAAACCAGAAATTGAAAATGAAACTTTAACAAGAACAGAAAAGGAGGGAATGGAATCGAAAATGATTAATAAAAATGAAAATATAGAGATTATTATATTATGAATTTGTTCATTGCGTTTTACTCAAATCTACATTGGGCAAGACACTGGCTTCAAGGGTCAAGGCCAGATGGTACCATGATTGAATAATCATGTTCTTGGTAAGAAAAGCAAAAAATTTAATTTTAAGAAGCATTTATTTGGGGTAAATCAATAATAATTATAAAAAACAAAGCAAGTAGGAAGTTGTTATTAGTATTTTTTAATACAAGGTAATGTATTCAGGGGAATACAAATTCGTTGCTTAAACCATTCTCAATGATAACAATTTTTTATAAAACCTAAATCAATTAACATTTATATTTATTTTTAAAAACAACGCATTTTTCATCTTTCTTTATCAAATCTTCTGAAGGGTAACATTGCTATTTTCCCAAATTGTTGCATAAGAACTATGAGGTCTGACCATGTAAATTGTGTTCTTAATTTAACATTGCATAGCTCCATGTCGAAACCAGACTCAAGCCAGGCAGAGAAGCTGTGCCAACAGATAAGGCCCGGAAGAGATAAGGTCTGCCGAAGCTAGCCAAGTAATAGAGCTGGGAGCACAAATAGCAGATTAAAGGCGGTCATGACACCACCAAATGGGACTTGGACTGGGACATCGAGGGTAGCCACGAAGATTAAAATTAAAGCCTCCTTTAAAAAAGCATATTGAATTTAAAAATAGAAAAAAGTTTGTAAGATGTTGAGTCATATTGTTGAACTTTCCAAATTGTAGAAACCGTAGGAACAAGGTTACGAAATCCTGATAGGGAAAAATCCAACCAAAACTCTCGTCGTTCTATACAAAACTTGACTTGCCGGTATTGCAAAGTCGGGGCATTTGCTTATAACGATCTTTCTGATTACTCCTTAGTTTCAGTGTCGCCTCAAGCCAACCTCGCTTTGAGCTCGCTCCAAGGCTGCTGTTGCTGCTGCTGGATGCTGACTACTGCTCTGGCCGCAGATAAAGCTGGGAGCTTTTCAGGTCGTCGGATCCGATTCCGAAATCAGTTCCCTTTCGAACGCGACGCAGTGAGCAACATGCAGCCGCTGCTCCTAGTAGTGCTGGCCCTTTGTGCGGCCCCAATCTTTGCCCTTCCCCGACCGGACTACAACGACGACTACAACGATGACGACGTGAAAGACTGGCAGCCGGAGCCCCTCAAGCCAGCTCCCTGGCAGGCGGAGCCACGCAGCTCACCTTCAGAGCCGCAAGCGGCCGTGGTGCCTATTCCCGGGATCGGACAGATCGTGGGAGTGCGCAACTTTAAGACCATCGCCGGACGTCCGGTGAACGCCTTCTTGGGCGTGCGGTATGGTCAGGTTGGCAGCGGCCTGGCGCGCTTCCAGGCTGCCCAGCCTGCCCGCCTCCAGGGCCGGATTGATGCCACCGTGCAGAGCCCGAACTGTGCCCAGTTTCCGGAATTGCAGCGCCTGAGGGAGTCCGAGTCCCGCGGTGAGAACGTCGACGACTGCCTGACTCTGAACATCTATGCACCCGAGGGAGCTAAGGACCTGCCGGTGCTGGTCTTTGTGCACGGCGAAATGCTGTTCGACGGCGGCGCTGAGGAGGCTCAGCCGGATTATGTCCTGGAGAAGGACGTGCTGCTGGTCTCAATCAATTATCGACTGGCACCCTTCGGCTTTTTGAGTGCTCTGAGCGATGAGCTTCCCGGCAACGTGGCCCTCTCCGACCTTCAACTGGCCCTCGAGTGGCTGCAGCGCAATCTGGTTCACTTTGGCGGAAATCCCGGCCAGGTTACGCTGGCAGGACAAGCGGGCGGAGCCACATTGGTTCACGCTCTTAGCCTCAGCGGCCGGGCCAAGGACCTCTTCCAGCAACTAATCCTGCAGTCGGGCACAGCCCTTAATCCCTACCTGATCGATGAGCGCCCTCTGGAGACCCTGGACACCTTCGCTCGCCTCGCACGTTGTCCTACCAATCCCGCTGCTCGCAGTCTTGCCCCGCTTTACGACTGCCTGGCAACACTGCCCACCTCGCAACTGGTCTCCGCCTTTGAGCAGCTCTTCGAGCAGAACGAACCGCGCGGTCTTAGCTCCCTCGGCGGCTTCAAGCTTGTCGTGGGCGACCGTCTTGGATACCTGCCCCGTCCCCCAGCTGCCCTGGCCGCCAATGCCAGCAACAGTGTTCCCACCATTGTCGGTGCCGCCAAGGACGCCAGCGCCTTCATCCTGTCGCGTGAGTTTTAAATATTTAATTTAATATTTTTCTATGATACCAAAGTTGACCGCAGCCTCTGTTTAAAAATCTAAAAATAGGAAAAATTAATCTGTGTACAAATTCTTATTTTAAATCGTAATACCTTTCAGACAATAGTGGTTTTTATACACTTATTGGGCACAATTGGGTATTTTCGATTCGTATATTCCGAGATATAAATATGTTTGCTTCAGTTTTCCCAGTATAAAGACAGTCTTTAAATTAAAAGCCACTTTGTTTTTTAAGCCAGAGTTTATTTGATGAGACTTATAGAGACAAAATCCGTGGCTGTCTGCGATAAGAAGCTTCAACGGATCCCGGGGGTCACTCTGATAAGGAACTATGCGATTAGTCCGACATAGACAGCAAAATCATCGCTTTGATGTGATTGCTGGGCTGATTTTAATTAGTGTCAAGGCTCTTCGATTTTTATGCTATTTACGTCGGCAGGCAGGAAATGTTTGGTTTTTAATTAAACTTATTTAATCTTGTGTACTTTCCCAAAAAATGGCCAAGTCAAATGTCAATGCCCGGTGATAAGAATATTTATGTACGCAGCTTTAATACATATATGTACATACATAAGATTTAATGCACATCGGAAACTGTTTATTGTTTACTAAATTAAGAATAAATGCTGAATTTATCTCGTTTACATATCTAATAGATATTTTTTTATAATCTTTCTGTACAGGCTTCTACAACCAGATTGCCGGCCTGCAGTCACGCAATGTGAGCGACTACATCGACGTGGTTCTACGACACACGGCTCCTCCCAGCGAGCACCGCATCTGGAAGCAGTGGGCTCTGCGTGAGATCTTCTCTCAGGACCAAGAGTACTCGGCCAGTGCCCGCACCGTGACACAGGGTCTGCTGGAGCTGAGCAACCTCATCCTTTACCGCGCCCCCGTGATCTTCTCCATCCGCCAGTCGTACCGCTCAACACCAGTTTACCTGTACACCTTCGACTACCGTGGCGAGCACCACCGCTTCGGGCACCTGAATAACCCCTTGCCGTTCGGAGTGGATGCCTCGCTAAGCGATGACAGCGTCTACTTGTTCCCCTACCCGGAGGAGGCCAGTCGCCTTAATCCTGTGGACAGGTCGCTGTCCCGCGCCCTGGTCACCATGTGGGTTAACTTTGCAGTTTCTGGGGTGCCCAACCCGAACTCTGGAGTGTGGCCACGGGCCACGTCCGAGTATGGACCCTTCCTGCGCTTCACCAACTCTCGCCAGAATATGCTCGAGCTGGATCCGCACTTCGGTGAAGGCATAAACTTGCCGAATCTCTATGGAGAATACTTCAATGCCACCAGTAGCACCAGCAGCAGTGTTACAGTTGCAACACCGAATAGGCCCTACTACTATCCCACCCCTACCACTACTACTACTACCACGACGACGACCACAACTACCAGGCGTCCGTACGCGTACAATCCCTATGCCAACTGGCAGAACAGGCAACCGCAACAGACTTGGCGGCCAGCGAATCCGGACTACGTGAGGGCTCAGGAAGAGCGACAGGCACAGTTTATCCGCGATCAGCAGTTGCGGGCGCAGCGGGAGAGAGAGCAGCGTTGGCGAGAGCAGCAACAGCGGGAAAACCAGAATCGACGTCCGGCACAGGATCCTCGCGAGCAACGAGAGAAGGAACAGCAAGAACAACAGCGCCGAGAACAACTGCAACTGCAGCGAGAAAGGGAACGGCAAGAGCGCGAACGACAACAACGAGAGCAGCAAGAGCGAGAACAGCGAGAGAGAGAACAGCGAGAGAGAGAACAGCAAGAACGAGAACAGCAAGAACGAGAACAGCAGGTGCAAGAACAGCGAGAGCGAGAACAGCAAGAACGAGAACAGCGAGAGCGAGAACAGCAAGAACGAGAGGGAGATTACTCAATTCGCGATGAAACACCAAATAACGAACTGAAACCGTATCCCAATTATGATGACTATCTCCGAAATCAAGACGAGTCTCCCGAATCTACTCCTGATCATGGATACGACGAGGAGCGAGAAAACGAGATACGAGAGCAGCGGATACGTGAGCAGCAGGAGAGGGAACAGGAGGAGAGACTAGAAGAAGAGAGATTGCAACAGGAACGAGAGCGAGAACAGCAGTCAGTCGAAAATCCCGATGATGGCCGCCAATCCTATCCCGGCTATGATGATTACCTTAGAGGACAGCAAGGAGAAAGTGATCCAGAAACGGAACAAGAACGAAACTACAATGAGGAGCGGGACCGCGAGCAACAGCAGCGCGAGCAGCAAGAACGTGAGCAGCAGGAACGTGAGCAGCAGGAGCGTGAACAACAAGAACGTGAGCAGCAGGAACGTGAGCAGCAGGAGCGTGAGCCGCAACCTGACAGTGATGATCCGCGAAACTATTCCAGCTACGATGAATATTTGAGAGCCCACCAAGCAAGACAACCAGCCGAGTCCGATTTCGATGCGGAAGAACAAAACCGTGAACAAGAGCGGAGGGATGAGCTTGATCAGGAGCAAGAAAGATCACTTGAGGAGGATCCGGAAGATGCTGACGACCAGGAGCCGGCCGATCCGGCCAACGATCCCAGCTCCTACGCTAGCTACGAAGATTACGTGCGAGCCCAGCAAAAGCTGCGCGAGGAGGAAGAGGAGCGCGACAGGGCCCGGGAGGCACAAGAAAGGGCCGAAGAGGAGCAGGAAGAGGCCCGTCAGGAATACCCAGGATATTCCCAATTCAGGAGCGTGCTTCACGGACCGCAGCACGTTAAGCTCATGCACAGACAGCAGCGACGCAGGCAGTAGGAGAACCGAACCCGCCTTATAATGTCTCTTTAAATATTATTTTTATTACAAAATAAACACAATATGAGCTAATTGTACTTGCCGAAGCTTTCTTCTTGACTTTTCCATAATGTCAACAATAAATCAATTCATTTATATTCCAGTTTGTCTTCATGTCCTCGATGATAAATTCATACATTGTGCAAAGTATAATTCATTTTGTATAATGGTAAAATTACTTTATAATACGGGCTTCACATGGTTTATTTTTAATAATTTAAACTCACAGTTTTTTAAAGTTTAACCTGAGATATATTTAGATCTAAAATTCTACATCTAGTTCTAAATAGAGCTATATTAAAAACGTATCTTGTTCCGGTTGGGCCGCTTCACCAGACTCTTGCGTCCTTGCAGCTTCTTTATCCTGCTCACAGAGGAGGCTGCCAACTCTTTTCGACGTTTAGCCAACGCCCGCTTCCGGCTGCGGTTGCGCAGATAGTAAATCTCGCGGACCAGGCTATGGCCCTCGTCCTCATCACGCAGCGTGGCCGAGAACTCCGAGAAGTAGTTGCCTCCGATGGTCAGCGTCTCATCGATCTTCATATAAGGGCCATAAAGCGTGGTCATGGGCGGCCAGTAGCCGGAGCGATAGGAGCCGAGCGGATTCCCGCTGATGACGAAGTTTGTCCAGAGTTCGACCATGCGACGAGCCATCGTCACGTCCGGCGGACTGAGGCGCTTCACATGCTCGGGGTAGGGGAAAAGATAGAGGGCCTCGTCGGTCAGCGAGACGCCAGCCCGGAAGGGGCTCTGCATGTTGGTCTCCTCGTCCATCTCCTTGTAGCGATTGAACTCGCCCGCGTATTCGAAGGAGTAGAGGAAGGTGTTGTGCGGATTGTGCTTGTTGTTCATGTTCAGAGCCAACAGAACGGGCAGCTTGTGGTTCAGAGTGCCGGCCACCTTTAATGAAATTATAATTATGAAATAAATATAAAATTACGATTTGTTGGCTTTGGTAAGATCCTGAATAAACGCATTACTTACATCAATAAGTCGGGGGATCAGGGTGTCAAAGGTGCCATTCTCCAGCAGATGACGGTTGAAGAAATCGTGAGTGACGAAACTGGTGAGAAGCATGGTCTTGTCCGTGCCCACTACCTGACGGATCACATGGTCGATATAGTTGTACGTAGTGTACTCATCATCCGGAATCTTTCCCTCAAAGTCATTGTCCACAATTTCGTTGAGCACTCGAGTTCCAGCGTTTTTCGGGCAACCACCCATTGCCGGATAGGAGAAGTTGGACTCCAGCATTAGGTCATACGGATGCTTTGGCAGCACACCACTGGGTCCCCCGATAGTGAACTGAATCCCACCAGTGTGTCCAATTCCCAGGTCAGATTTTTCGAGCTGCCAAATAAATTGTTAGACTTTCAATGGATTTATATGTACATTAACCTACGGCATGCTCCATAAAGGCCGTGAGCAACTCGAGAGCCGTCAGTTCCATGAGACAGGTGTTGAGATCCCGCACGGTCACCATCTGACAGTCGGCCTTCTTGGCGATTTCGTGGGCATGCTTGCGAGGATCCTCCTCCAAAAAGATGGGCATAATGGCGGAGCCCGAATGATAAATCACCTGACTGAACAGACCACGCTGCACCATCGGCGAGAGCGTGAGCAGGTGGGCAATGGCTGCTCCGCCCACCTGGCCGGCCACCGTTACCCGCGAGGGATCGCCGCCAAAGTTGGAGATAAAATGCTTAACAAACTGTAGGGCCAGAAAAATGTCCAGGAAGCCAGCATTGCCGGGAATCTCATCTGTTTTCGTCGACAGAAAACCAAAAGGACCGAGTCGGTACTGAGGCGTGACCAGCACGATGTCCTTCTCGAGGAGATAATCCGGAGGCGCCTCCGAGTTGCTGCCCTCGTAAAGGTATTCGCCATGGATGTATACCAGCACTGGCAAGCGGGCAGTTACGTTTGGCGTGGTGATGGTCATTGTCAAGCAGTCCTCCACATCCAGTACGTCGTCCAGTTTGCGCAGCGATTCCATTGACACCACCGAAGGGCATCCGATCTTCTCGGCTGTGGCATCCATCACATCCTCCCATGGCTCGATCGGGCGCGGTGGCTGCAAAAAGTTAATTAATAATGAGAGTCAATATTTTTGATGAGGGCCAAATCATTAGGTTTTATAGGCACATGTTAATTAATAGTAGACTTTTTACGGTGTTCATGTAAATTATATGGAAATATGATGAGAGCGGATAAACTGTCCAAAAAACATTTGCATTTCTTTTAAAATCGTGCTTTTTTAACTGTGGGTAGATGTTTGCATAATGAATAAATTTTAAATACAAAATGTTTAATGTTGTCTCAAATGTTTGCTGGTTTAATAATTGGAATTGTCCCTGCAAGAGTATACAAATATGGAAGAGGTTATCACGAGGATGTTATCATATTTGTTTATTAATGTTCAGATTGTTTCTATTGCAGATTTATGATATACACCGTGGCCCGATCTCGCCCTTTAAATGAACATTATCTTTTATAAATTACGCAAATAAAAAATTTTCATTTTAAAAGAGATATATAAGGAAATTTTTCAATATATAAAACCTTTAAGGAAATTGGCCATAAATTCCGAATATTTATATCCACCAGAAAATGAAATAAAAAAGCTTGTTACTATTTAAAAGTCAGTTTCAGTTTTAACAATTTTATACTACGAATGACTCAGTGCTAATGTCTGATACTACAATCTAATAATAACCTCCACTTTCCCATAATCTGTTTGTATATGGACAACCTGGAAATGCGCACCTGCACATCATAATTCTAGCCAGGACCTACCAAGTCCTCGATAGTATAGTGGTTAGTATCCCCGCCTGTCACGCGGGAGACCGGGGTTCAATTCCCCGTCGGGGAGAGATGTGAGGAGCATATCTATATTTTTTTCGTCTTTTTTCTTCTGAGAATTAAGTCTGCTGGCTTATTTATTGCCTTTAAGGAAATTTACATAATTTTGAAAGTTTTTTGTGGTAGGAGAAACCAGACTCCAAATAAAGTTGGACATTTCTATTTGAAATTCTTGGCGAATCTGTTATGTTAACATATTTTGCATTTTTGCATAACGACGACCTCTATTTTTTTGCACCAATATCCACAAAGAACAAGTTCCATTTCTTTCGTTTCAACTCATAACTCCGTTATTCTCCTGCAGAAAATTATTTATGTTGCAATGTTGAGTAAAATATCAAGGAAGTGTACCTTGAATCGATTGAGCCCCGTGGGAGGCTCTGCATATCGAACATCCACAAATTGCAGCACTTCACGCTTAGTCCAGGCAGTTTCAAGAATCTTTCCCTGGATGCTGCCCAACTTGGGCAGTTCGACGATGGTGTCCTTTTCCTCATCGTATTGCCTGTTCCGGAACCGAGCCTCCACCCCGTGGTGGAGGAGCAGAAGTATTAGCATAAGCGCGAATTGCATCTTTCGGGATAATCGCGGATCGAACCAGCACTCTCTGTAGCGCACCGAACGCAACTGATCTGTGGTCAGACGGAGCTAATAGATATTAGTCCGCCGCGCTGACCCGAAGTTTCACCCCATGCTGACCGAAATAGCCAAAACGAAGAGTTTGCAAACGAAAACTGGCTAAAACAAAACGCGAAATATACTGCAAATGATGCGGCTAAAACCATACATCTATGCTAATACGTACACATGGAGAAAAAATGGTATGACAAAAAATTAATACTAAAGAAATCATCATATTTAAAATATAGAATTTAACGTTTAGAACCACACTGCATATCAATAATTTTCAATTATTTTAAGACTCTCCAATATTTTGCATATAATTATATAAATCGCAGCTGGCACTATTACGTCCCATATCCATTTTTTAAGTTTTTTAATGCACAATAAAATATTTTTAATCTAGAATATTTTTCACAGTGCAAGAACGAATTTCGATGCTCCGATTTCGGTTGCTTGACTGCTCCGCTGATCATCTGTAAGTAAAAGGGAAAACTACAAGAGCAGAAGATCGGCCACCCGAACCCAAGTCCGATTTGCCTGCTAGTCAGTCATTAGTCGCTCAGATTGATGCGAATATTTACCGGCAAACATTAGCCATTAACTTAGTTTGTCTTTCTCACGATGACGACGACGACGATGATGACTATGGCGACGATGAAAGTGCGGGCAGCATCAGGGCAAAAAAATTAATCTCGCAAAAAGCTGCGGGCATTGATTTAAATTTTAAATTTTACCTAATTGATTCCGCATATTCTCCTCGCTACTGGTATTCCTACTCCGAGGTGTATGATCCATCATCGCGAGCGGCGGGAGAAAGCATTGGCAACACTTCTGTGCCGAAAAAGATCAACGACTTCTGCACCTAATCGCACGAGATAATTCTATTATTTGGCTATCTTTAAATTTAGTCAAACTTGGGAAACCCCGCCAGAAAAGGAAGCTAGAAGAAAGCGTGCCAGGTATAACTTTTCCCTTTGTAGAATTCACATTAACGAGCTCAGAAGAATGAAAGGTTTTTTATTCTTACAAATGATTTAATTGGAATTTCAGGGAATCTCTTGAGAAAGCTTAATTAACTTCAAAATAATTTACAGATAAATAGTAAACAAAAGAAAATGAACTGAAAGCCTCAAAGAAAAAATCTGATTTTAAATACTTTTTTTTGCTTTGCTTTTTTTTATTTCCTAAAAAGAAAGAGCATCACAGTTCACTATCTGAAAAGATTTATTGGTCTTAGAAGGGATTATTCAATCAATCTTGGTTACAGCTGAAATAGTGCTAATGCTGATGCCAAGATAGCAAATTAATTAAACCAAAGACCTAATGATGTGTCACGCTTTATTTAACTTCTATTATGTTCCCTAATAAATTCAAATGGAAATGTGATCCCTCTATTCATGGAGATTCTGAACCGCGAAATATGATTTATGAGGCCGTGAAAGAAAGCGGATTCTGTTAAAATAAGTTAATAATAAATTATGGATATAATTATATATTATATTATAGCAGGTATTTTCTTTGGTTAAAGTTTAGCCATAATAGGTAATATTATTACATTTAAGAAGAAACCCTTCAAAGTAAAACGACCCTCCACTAAATTTCACATTTATTTAAGAAAAGTTTTAGGAATACATAAATTAGAGAGGGGGAGGATCATATTTTGAGCTTCTTATTTCTATTGCTTCTGGACGCGCGTTGACTTCCTGGCAATGAAGACCAGGTTCTGCCCACGGCCCTCATTGGCAGCCCTCTCGCCCTCCTCCTCACTGTCATCCTGATCTTCCTCCTTCTCCAAGGCAGCCTGATCCTTGTCTAGCTTGGCAACCGCCTCCAGGGCGGACTCCAACTCGTAAAAGTCCTCGTTGACCAGGCTGTAGCCACTCTTTGCATCCTCCACGGTAATTCGGTATTCATCAAGGTAGTTGTCACTGAAGGTGACGGTACGACCGATGCGCATGTAAGGACCCGTCTCATCATTCATCGTTGGCCATTCCGGCACGCCGGGTGCCTGGGGAACCCCCGTAGTCGCAAAGGACGTCCACAGGGCCACCATACGCCGGGCCACCTTTATGTCTCGAATGGAGTTAAGGGCTATGAATCGGGGCCAGGGGAACAGATACAGATTGTCGTCCGTCAACGAGACGCCCATGTCAAAAGGCATAAAGCTGGCCTCCGCCGCACTGGTCGCATAGCGGTTCTGCTCGCCCTCGTAGTCAAAGGTGTACAGGTAGGTGCTGTTGGGCAACTTCTTGGCATTGGCTTGGAGCACCAGCAGCACGGGATTCTTCAGAGAAATTGTGCTGCACAGCTGGAATTATTATTAAAAATAAAAAATGTAAACAGTATGTAAAAAATCTGAATATAAATCCCGAATTATGGTTACTCACATCAATCAAACCCGAAGTTAAGCGCTTAAAAGTGCCGTTCTTGACATCGGCCTCAGAGAAAATCTCTTCGTCGGAGAACTCCCTCCAGGAGCCAGTGGGATCAGCACCATTTGCCTGCTCGATAATGGTATCAATATACTGCCGTCCCGTCATTTTGTCGTCCAAAATGGTCTCATTAAATATATCAGAAAAGATATCTGCAATTAAAAGGTTAACAATTACATAACGTTTAAATTATAATATTCTTTTCATATATAGAAGATAAATACTCTTTCCAAATAATATATAAATATTAGCTCACCCCTTAGCATAAAAGTTCCACCGTTCTTCACACTGCCACCCATTGTGGGATATGCTTGGAACTTTTCGGCGGCCAGCAGACGTCCAGGATGTTCAGGAAGGATGCCCGAGGGGCCACCGATGACCAGCTGCACGCCACCGTAAGCTCCGCCGGCCAGCGAAGGCTGATTTTCACCGTGCACGCTGAAGGCAGCCAAGAGCATAGTGGTGTTTAGGCGTCCCAAACACTTGTTCAGCTGATCCACCTTGTTAGGCTGTTTGCAGCCGGCCATTCGGCCAATGGCCTTGGTTGCAGCCAGCGGGGAGTCCGTGATGAAGGCCGGCGACAGGGCTGTGCCCGACTGATAGATCACGCGATGGAAGAGTCCAGCCGGAACCGCAGGACTTAGGGTGAGCACATTGACCAACGCCGCTCCACCGACTTGACCGAAAAGAGTAACCCGTTGTGGATCGCCGCCAAAGGAGGCGATGTGCTTCTGCACCCACTTCAGAGCCAGGATAATGTCAGTGACAGCCGCGTTGCCGGGCATCTCGTCGGTCAGCGTGGACAGGAAACCGAAGGGTCCCAGGCGATAACGTACAGAGACCAGAACCACATCGTGCTCCAGCAAATAGCCAGGAGCGGCCTCCACTGAGTCGCCATCATAGAAAAAGTCACCATGGATGTAAACCATCACCGGCATGGATTTGCCTTCCATCTAAAACGGGATAACCGAATTTTTTGTTGAAATACTTATAATCCTAATGAATTTTATAATGGATTCATTAAATAAATATTTTTAACGAAAGCCGACTTTCTTTCTTACCTCCATCTTAAAGAACAGACTGAACTCGGCATATTAAAATAAAAACAAGAAAGAAAGCTAACTTTGGCCAGCCAAAGTTTGTATACCCTTGCAGGTAACAATTAAAATATATCATAACTAAGCCAAAAATGCATTAATTTAAAAAAAAATTTAAATTTTAAGAAATCAACATTTTTGGCCATTTTTCCTAATTTTAATGATGTAACCCCTTATGAAATTTCGCAAAAATGGCCAAAAAATCGATTTCTTCCGGACATGTCTAGAAAGATTCGCATGTTAATGCTGATCAAGAATATATATGGTTTATGGGGTCGGAAACGTCTCCTTCACTGCGTTGCAAACTTCTGACTGAAATTATAATACCCTGCGAGGGTATAACAAATAGCATTCAACCTACCGCCTTTGTGTTTATAGTTAGCCGCAGACAGTCCTCCACATCATAGCCTTCTTCCTCCAGTTTGGAGAACATGAGCAGATCCTGAATGGATGGACATCCGGCGTGAGGACGATGGGCGGGTAAAGAGCCCTTCCAAGCTGGTGCGGGTTCAGCTGGCTGTAGAAAAATGACATTAAAAAAAATTTTAATATTTTACCATCCTTTAAACTATTGCTACAACGTAATATTTGTTTGCAAATGAAAAACAATTATACTTTTTCGTAAAGCATCCATTCAACGAACGCAGTTACCCCGCATTTGACGGAAGTCGTTCACCGTCCTCGATAGTATAGTGGTTAGTATCCCCGCCTGTCACGCGGGAGACCGGGGTTCAATTCCCCGTCGGGGAGATGTGTGAGCATCTTTTTTTATTTAATAATATTTCAATATTGCTTATTTTTAACGATAATTATATATATGTATATATATTATAATTATTGTCCCCTCTCAGAGTCCCCAAGGCTGTTAGAATTGTAGTGTGCAATTAGAGCTAAAAACTTTAATATATTTATACGAAAAGTATATGTGAATTACTTGAAAGGAAATACAAATAAATAAGAAAACCTTCAGAGTTGATTTTAGAATAAAGTGTAAAAACAAAAATATATTTTAAGTCTCAAACAAATTTTAAGGGAAAAAAGGAAAAATAAAAAAATACAAATGAAAAAAAAACTCTTAACATTCTCCCCGACGGGGAATTGAACCCCGGTCTCCCGCGTGACAGGCGGGGATACTAACCACTATACTATCGAGGATGTTGGTTAAGAAGCGACAAATGCGGGGTAGGAGGCAATTCAGTTGATTTATCAAAGCAAAGATACTCTTTGCTCAAAATAAAAGTATCTTTTGGCTTAATAAATAAATGATGTACCAAGCGAATCACATTAAAAATGATAACACGAACCCACCTTGAATCGATCAGCCTTTCCGTAGGGAATATCGAGGAACTGCATTATCTTCTGGCCCGTCCAATCCGTGCTCAAGGTGCGACCGCGAAGCCTGCCCAATTCGGGAACGGTTACGGAGAACACTGCGGGCTCCTCCTGGATATTCTGCACTTGTTGCTTGTTGGGCTTCTGTTTCTGGGCCTGCTGGGGCTTGGGTCGCTTGTTCTTGTGATGGACCGTATTACTCTGGAAGTCGGCGGGACGCTGCTTCTTCTGCTTGTTCTGGTTCTTCTGAGCCTGACTGCTGGCCGCGAAGAGGGCCAGAAGGACGATGGCCAGGAGCACTAGAGCTCCACTAATCCTTGCCATTATCTTAGTTTACTTCAGGTGCGTTGCTGTTGGACGATGAAATCGAACTGTGGGCTAGTCCAAATATTTGGCCACCAAGAAGACTTTCTCGGCACCCTCGAGTGGCTCTTGACCGGGCACGAGTTCTATTTCGGATTATGGTAAATGGGGTCAAGTCAGCACTCAGCTCGAATCTTCCTCTTAACTTGAGCGCCACTTTTCGCGATCCCAACATATATGAATATTAAGTGACAGCTATCTAAATGCGAACTTATGCGAAATTTAGCCGCGGGTGGGACTATGCTGCTCTTGGCATGAAAGTAAAAGAGAGCCAGGCGGCACAACCTGTTCTATAGTTGACCTCTGTCTGGTTTTCTCCCAATCAGTAGGATCGCCCATTTTAGATGATAAATCGAAATAAGGCCTAAGGCCTTTCCGAAATCAATTAAATTAAGGTAAATGTTTCGTTACAATTCGCGGAGTATTCTCTCTAATCAACTAAAATATGTAAATTAAAACTCCTTTATATTGCAATTCTTTCAAACATCTTATATATTTGCATAAAGCCATATCTAATACAACTTTGACAGATTTCAGTAGACTTTTAAATGGTACTCGCAGTTGTAGCTAAACATTTTCTTAACTGGTTCATACATCTTGCAGTTTGCTTAAATGATTATTTGTATTTTTAGTAAATTTATTATTTTCTTAGGAGCGACAGCTAGAGATCTATAGATACACATTTTCTCTGAACGGATTGCAAAGATTGCATTATTCTGCGCTATTTTTAGTCCAACTTTTTGACAGATATAAGCTTTTAGTCAGGAGATATATAGATAGATTTGTACGTTAGCATGCTGTTTTCGAGCGCTTTCACTCCTTGGTAGTTGCGTGTGTTACATTCGTTAATTCTTTATTAATAAATAAATATAGTATGTAGTAGGCATCACGTAAAATTAGATTAAAATGCATTATAGACTACAACTAGTTCATAAACGCACAAACAATTGCATTCAAATGCAGAAGTATTCTAAAGCGAAGTAAATGTTTTTTGGAGAGAGAACATCTGCTGAAGATCGAGAACCCCAAGCGGGGATGGGAACAGCTGGCCGGGTGATTCACAGTCAACACCATCGCTTAAATGTAGTACAGGCGCACAACCGATTTGGTGATGAGTGTCTCGTTGTCGTAGAAACTGGTTTGGATCGTCACATTGCCGTTCAAGACCTTGGCGGGCATCATCTGGGATTCGGGCGCCGCCTCAATGGTCGACTGCCAGGTGTTGGTTGTGTTGGCGCCCACGAAGCCCATCTCGAAGAACCACTCCTCCATGATGCGTCCCTTGAACAGTACCTTCTGGTCGAGCCGGAAGTTCTCCATCGGCTCGATGGTGCTGAAGTTGATCTCACGCGACACCGCCCTCATGTCCAGTATCTTTACCGGCACACGCGCCTCGTGCTCCAGATCCGGTGCCGAGAAGTCCTTGTTCTCCTGCCATATCACCTTGCCGCTGTCGGCGTCCCGCAGGATCATGTAGTTGATCTGGAACCCCTTCTGGATCCTGTCGCCGGCGCTCTGGTCGTCGGAGCCCATCGTTGAATGTTGGTGAATCCGGAGCACAACCAGGTGAGACCGCCTACGCGTTTACGTATACTAGCGGGGCAGAAAATCAATTATGTTTATTTTTAATCCAAATGCCAGCCATCAGCTGTTCAGTTGTTTAGTGTGACCGACGGAATTTTCGTTTATTAGCGTTGCCACACATCCAAATCGATTAGCTAACCGATAGTTGTGAACCTATCGATAGCAGTTATCCGCTGTGCCATCACTAATTCGCCAAAAGAAAACATTCCCAAAAACACAAAAATAAGCAACAACTAAGCCATGATTATATATGGCGTCTATATAGTTAGCAAATCGGGTGGCCTTATATTCAACCTGGACAACAATGTGCCGCGCATCGAGCACGAGAAGACCTTCACATACCCGCTGGACCTGGTGCTGGACTACGATTCCAAGAAGGTTTCGGTGTCGTTCAATCGCAAGGATGGCATAAATGGTGGGTGTGTCTTGGGTTCAATGTTGCTTCTTGACTATTTCACATTCTGCCTTGTAGTTGGCCATGTTCTGGTGGCGGTCAACGGCATAGCCGTCACGGGCATCACACTGGACGATGGACGCGATGTGAGGACAACGCTGGAGGCGCCGGAGAACTATCCCATCAACCTAAAGTTCAGCCGGCCGAAGATGACCACCAACGAGAAGATCTTCCTGGCCAGCATGTTCTACCCCCTGTTTGCCATCGCCAGCCAGTTGAGTCCGGAGCCCAAGAGCTCTGGAATTGAACTGCTGGAGGCGGACACGTTCACGCTGCACTGCTTCCAAACGCTGACGGGCATCAAGTTCATTGTGATCTCGGAGACGGGCCTAAATGGTATAGACCTGCTGCTGCGCAAGGTCTACGAACTGTACTCCGACTATGTCCTCAAGAATCCATTCTACTCGCTGGAGATGCCCATCCGGTGCGAGTTGTTCGACAACAAGCTCCAGGAACTGCTCGCCCAGGTGGAGAAGACGGGCATTAGCAATATTGATAAATAAATAAAGGTTTAAGTAGTCTTTGTACAATGTTATTAAGGTTATCTTCTATTGTTAGGGGGTTTATTTTTAGGTCAAGGGTTCATAGTTTTGGTTAAAAGCTTGCAACAAAAGCAAATGATTCCAATTTGCTCTTTCTTCCTTTCTTTAAGCTTTGACCTTGAACTTTAGTGCCCAATCGTGGCTAGATCGTCCCATTTTTTGGTGATTTAATAAGTTTTCTTTAAGCTAATTTTTTCAAATATCCCACAAAAATAATTAACACACTTCAACATTTTACCGGTCTTTATTTTTGTATAGTTTTTCTTTTTTTTTATTCATTCAGCCATCTTAGAATAGTTTGTTGTATTTTATACATACTCATATAAAAATAGTTCTTTGTTTAACACTAAATATAATTTGTATATTACACTTTCAGCGCATAACCTAGACAACACCCTAACCTAAAACAATATATTGCATGGCCTATATGAATGCTTTGTGATCCATGCACAAGGATAAGGTAACCAAATAACCAACAAACTCAGTACATGCTAGATGGTGTATAATATATATATGTATAGGTGTATATAATAAACTTCTTGAGCGAAATATGACTCCAAAAATAGATTGCAACTGCGTTAAACATTTAAAAATTAAGCAACAATTTCCAAGATACCTACTTAACGACTAATAAAAAGTATCAAAAATGTTCAAGGCATAACAATTAAGTAAGTTCTTCATTTTCCATCTCTCTGCAGCAAGAGCGGGGCCTGTATCTGTGTATAAGGTGTGTGTTGTGTGTGTTTTTGAGCATAGTCCTATTGCAAACTGCCTATTGCACTAATTGGCATCCGTTTCCGTTCAGTAGCCAGTCTCGGGCTCCTGCTTTAACGTCATGCGGCAGGGTTCTGGAATAATACAGGAAAAAAACGAATTATTTATTTATTTATATAGAAGATATTTTAATAGTTCAATTTGGCTTGATAACTCACCCAATCCATAGCCAGTGGGCGCTGTCAGCAACTCCGGCGCCCGGATCTTGAGCGGAGTGCGTCGCAGCATCTCCTCGGCACTGCTGCCCTCGCTGCGATTGTACTCATTGAGCGTTATATCGGCGGGGTTGCGCAGCACCAGGCCGCCAACACCGCTGGTCACCTCGACTGGCGATGCGACCGCTCTTTGGTAGGGATGCATGCGCTGGGGACTGTGCTGGGACCGACTGCCATTGTAGTGTTTCACGGGCACATCCATGTAGGATCCATCTTGCTGCTGGTGAGTCGCATGTTGCTGTTGATGCTGATGCTGTTGCTGTTGTTGTTGCTGCGACTTGGGGCTGTTGAGCGGGGGCGAGATCGCAGCCGGAGCCACGGATGCGGGTGCAGAGGAGGAGGAGGAAGACGAAGCAGCAGAAGCTGCCGCAGCTACCGCTGTGCCGGTTGCATACGCCCGAAATGAATCCTCCGCGCTGTTCGCCTCTATTAGAGCCTGGATATGCTGAACCTCCAGATCCAAGCCATGCGAACCACTGCCGCCCGCCGAGACCAGGGGATCTAAGGAGGAATTCACCTGACTGCCGCCGCCATCCATGTTTCCAGTATGGGTAGGACTTTGGTAGTCGTTGGACTGATTTGGTGGCGACAAAGGCAAAGGATTGTCCGCCAACTCTCCTGCAATAATAATAATAAAATTAATATTTATTGAGTTTAAAAGTAAATTCTATGTTTAAACGCACCTCCCAAAAGCATCTCCTGGAGCAGCGAGTCGATGTGGGCCACGCCAAAGATCTTGGCAAACTGGATCTGTTCGATCATCTGCCAGGTAATGGACTGCAAAACGGGCAGAATAAGCAGGATCTCGCCGAAGCGACCGCGCGACTCGTACTGCCGATCGGATATGTAGTCCTCGAGATTATTGAGTATCTGGTGGCGCAGCGACTTGATGCGATGTGGCTCATTTAAGCCCTTGGCATCTGTAAATTAAATCTTCAATCAGAGACATTCCTCTATGCTATAGATTGGGAAAACTTACTGGGATCGAAAAAGACCAGAGCCTTGATGCAGGCAAACTCGGTGTCATCGATGCCCACATCCTTCATGACCACCACAAGTTCGTCAATGATGCGGGCGCCTATCCGAGAGATGTCCAAATTGGGTGACACAAGGGGATCTGCAGGGGAGAATTTCCTATTGATCTCCAAATCAATATTAAAAAATATGTAGCCAACACACCTGGACAGTGTCGGGTAATCACACAGTTGTTGCTCAGTAGCAGGACATCCTTGAGGTGCATCGATCGACGTGACAGGCCGAGAAGCAGGTGCTCGCCGGCATGGGCACGCAAGAGGGCCACCTGATCGTCCAGCTGCAGCTCGTTAAAGGCCGGAATCTGCTTGGCCCACTCCACCAGGGTGAGTAGCTGTTGTTTCATCGATTCGCAGACATCATTAATGCTGGCAAACTGCTTTGTGGATAGATCCTCGTTGATGTTTGGCTCCATGGCAGCTCCGGCCTTAGACTGGCGCGACTCGTTCTCGGCCTTGACCAGCGATATCACTGAGAGGCCATTGCCCGGGTCCGGATCATCGTTGGAGGTGCGACGACAGCTAATCCGATCTCGCTCGTTCTGCACTGCTTCCTTCTTCATTCCCGCCTTAAAACACTTCCTTAGCCGGCAGTAGCGGCACTGGTTTCGCTTGTCCTTGTCCACCACACAGTTGCGGGAGAATCTGACAAAAGGAAATCGACGAGTTTATTAAAATGTAGACAATCTAGGGAATATTCCCTCGTTATTTTCGTTAAACTCTTTTGAATGCCCACCTGCATGTGTATTGATGATTCTTCCTCACACTACGCCTGAAGAATCCCTTGCAGCCGTCACAACTGGAGGCTCCATAGTGCTTGCCCGTCGCCCGATCTCCACAGATGGCGCACACCGTCGGTGACTGTTGCTGCTGTTGTTGCTGTTGCAGCTGCTGCTGACTGCTTCCTCCACTTCCGCTTCCACTGTGGTTATGATTCGGCGAAAACATGCTATTGTTATTGGTGCTGCAGCTGCTGGCACTTCCGCCTCCTGCGCTGCCGGCATTGCCTCCGTTTCCGTTGCAGAGCGCAAAATTCTCGCTGCTCTGGTTACTGCTGTTGCTCAGTCCCAGGACGACGCCGTTAGGACTAAGAGCATGGCCAATCGGACTATGCGGCTGGGAGGCAGCCGGATAACCGGCGGCCAAAGCATCGGCGTGCATTATATGGCTTTCAGACTCTAAAGGGAGAAACAAAATATAAAGGAGTTTAGTTATATTTGAAAATATATTTTAATCTTTTTAATTGCACTATTTAAATTGTAATGTTATTAAAAGAGTTTTACAGAAACCAAAGATAGTTAAAGTATACAAAATATAACAATTAATATAAAGTTTGAAAAGCACTGTAATCTTGATTCATCTTAAGAATCACTGAGTTCTCGTGCTATTATTTACACTATACATATAAACATCATAGAGTAAGGCTCTTAAATATATATATAAATATTTATTTATAAATGTATATTAATCTCAATTCAAATGGTAACGTCTTATTGTTCTTTGTTACTCATCCGCAAAACGTGTCGTTAAATATATGTCGTGTCATGCTTAGATCAACAGTTTGGCAGCCGCAGGGGCTGGGCACACATGCAAACAGTTTTAGAAGCTCTCTGCGCCTACGCGAATTCTTTACAACAGTTGGACATTTACTGATCGCAGCATACCATATCACGTATACGCAAAAAATTTTTAGGAATTGAGTTGCAATTGAAAAAGAACATTGCAGGATTTAGTATATTTTTCTGTTTTAGTAAATAAAATTGTTTATTTATTAGAGTACTTTTTTTGCAGGTTATTTTTGTAGTAAATACCCAAGAGAGATTTAAAAAAAATGAATAAAATATCTTAATCCAAAATTGATACATAGATATTAAAACATAGTATTTTGTTTCCCTTTGTACATCATTTTGGGGTCTACTTTTTTCACCGCAACTGTGCTATATATGATACATGTGTAATTTATTTGTTGACCTGTGTGTAGCCTATCATAGAAATGTTAATATAGCGAAAATTTTGTTTTTTCAAATCGCGCAATAGCAACAAACAAAAATGAGAAAAGCAAAAACTTGAACAAAAACAACAACAAACAGACCGTCACTTGAAGCCGTGTGGCTGGCGCTGCTGTTGCGTCTGCGTCGCCGTCGTCCCTCAGTCACTGGCTCCACCGCCGACCCTGCCTTGGCCGCTGCAACTGCGACAGAGACCCGCCCACCGCCCACTTTGCCACGCAACAGAATATCACCAACGGCGACGCGATCGCGATCGCGACTAGAAATTTTAACTCTACCGGACTTGCGCACCATTATAATGCAACTGATTACTGAAGAAACACACGACTCGAAAATTTTCAGTCGTATCGTATGTTGTCTTTGCCGCTCACTGTCGCTGTCGCTCTCCTTGCCACTGGCGCACAGTGGGGTCTTCAGAATAAATCTCACATAAGGAATAGTTTGTAAATATTTTGATATGTTGAAAAATTATCTATCAGCTACCATTTAAAGCCCTCGATTTTTTTTACTTGCTTCAAAAGTTATTTAGTTTTCACCCAAGAAACCTAAACAAGCTCCACTGTGCAGTGCAAGTGTGTGCGTTAATCGACGCTTAAATCAATTCAACTGTGTTTGCATATCTCACACACACACTTTTTTTCTCTCCCACCAGAGAGACCCCGAGTTTAAAACCAGACTTGGAGCTCTCTCCCCACCAACACAAGCAGAATTAAACACAAGCAGAGATAGAAATTCGTTTGGAAGACCAGACAACAACAACGAGAGTAAAGTCACACGAATAAACAAATAAATAAAAAATGTGTATAAAAAAAGCCGGCTTTAATTTGGACATCGTTATGAGGCAGCGCGAGAGTGTGTGTGCGAGTGTGTAAAAAAAAGCATAACAGAAAATCAGTTGGGGAGACCGGAGAAAGAGAAAGAGAGAAACTAGAAATACTAGTAACACGAAGATAGAAGAGGAAGAGGCGGTAAATAGTAGTTGCCTTTAATAAAAAACAATCAAAATACCCGCACAGTGGAAGTGATTTACTAGATGTGCGAACATAGAATATAGAATTTTGTATAAAATAATAAACATTTTAATAAATTTTACAATTTGTTTTGAAATAGTATTATAGATTTAATACATCCTTTTCACTTTATTTTTATTATTTGTGGTCTTTTTAATTATTATTATTTTATGTAGTATAAAGATAGGAAAGAAATGGATAATGAATAATAATATATACACATGTACATTGTATGTCTGTTATCTTCAGAAACAGCTGATCTTTTTATTTTTGAGTTAAAAAATAAAAAAAAATACTTGTAAATAGGGTTCAATAGAAAAATCTAATTTTTGAAACGATTTGGCATTATAAATTTTCCACATACCAGGAAGCTTAATGTTTTTTTTATTAAAATTTCCCGCTGAAAGTATAAATTCATCGATTTTAATTCACACTAACAACTTTACAAATACTTTATTATTTCAAAGCAAACACAAATTTCATCACAATACTACTATTTTGTATCTCCCGTCGAATCTCCTTAGCTTAATAGTTTTGTAAACATTAACTGTCTAATAGACTTTTCATATGTGCACTCGAAGGGGTTAATTGGTTTGCTTGCTCACAGATTCCCAGACAATTAATCACGGCCCTTCGACACCTGATATCCTCACCGCTTGAAAATCTGATACAAATTAAGAGCAAGAACTCAAATAAGCTAAAGTTTAAGTAAAAACCAACCAACTCTAGTTGTTACTGCCAAAAATTCTAATCATCAAAAGTGTGTGTGTGGTTTTTATCAAAGCTAATGCGCTTGTTTTACCAGCTCAGCAAACAGAAAATAAACCTAAACAACCCAACCCCAAAAAAAAAGAAAAATAATAATAATAAAAAAGGTAAATAAAAGCATAATACTCGTTTGCTATCATTTCGCATATAAAACTTTCTCATCGCACCATTGCTCTCTTTCGCACACTCGGCTGGGTGTTGGGGGAAACAGGCCCCGGTGTAAGTTTTATTTTTTTTTTAGCCAAGTCATCGTTAGAGTTCAGTTTTATAACGCCGCGTCATCGTTAGTATTGCAAAAATGTTGTTCCTGCTGCTGCTGCCATCGATGCCGCCTCTGAAGTGGTCAAATCGCAATCTGAGATTAGAAAATATCGGATTCTCGCGCGATTCGCTGAAAAATAATTTGGCGGATTTCATATGCGTATTGCCGCAAATAGTTTATGGCCGTTGATAAAACGCAAGAGTAGAAAAACACACGTTTATTATGTGTCCTAAGATAAGAAAATGAACAAGTGCCACACTTGAGGGTACCAAAAAACCCTATATATGTATATTTTCATATTTAAATGGAAATGTGAGTGTGCTGGCTTTTCAGCTTAATTTGGTCAATTTATTTCCCAAACACCACAACAAAAGTTGAAGCTAATGGCCAGCGGGCGACGAGCCCCCAAAGCCCCCCCAAAAATAACGTATAAATAAATTGATCTTGAGAAGAGAGAATCGAGTGTTTCGCGCTTCGATGTTAATTTACGTGTTGATGGATACTCTCGTCATCTCTCTGCTTTGTGAAGTATATATTTAAAACCCCGAATTTGCATAAATAAACAAACTTGTGAAAATTATAAATAAACTAATTTGGCAAAAAATAAGTAAAGTCTTTTAAATGCAACAATTATTTAGCATTTCCAAAGTTTAAACAAGACTGGGAATACCCTTCGACTAGAGTAAATTCAGGCATGTGGACCAAATTTTAAATATATCTATACACATTGGATGGAAACTTTGCTCGATCTACGCAAACGAATGTATTTTTAGATACAATATTTTTGTTTACCCATTCTGATATATAACAAAAAATGAAGAGTATTATATAAGCTTAAACAATGAAAGCATGTCAATATATTTTTAAATAAAAAGTTAGCATTGATCTTCTAAACAATTGAAAACCCAAAAGACTTCTTTACTATTAAGATGTATGATTATTTTTTTTTATCAAAATGACCGCTTTGGTGTTCAAATTTAATTTTAGGCACCTTTGCTTGTAGAAGTGTGTGTTTATTCAGTATTAGTCAACCATTAGTCACAAAAAATAATACAATTTGATAAGAGCTGTGCATTTCTGGCATCTACAAAGACTTTAAATTGCTTCAACAAGATTACCCTTTTCGGTATTTATGAGAGATTTACTAGCTAGCGTTTTATCTTAACAATTCCTAAATGTGATAAGTTAACATAAATGTTATCAATTTTTCATTTGGTAACGTTTACATTACCACTATTACGACGCCTTGATCAAGAATATGTAGTTAATGGGGTCGGTGTATAAAAATAGCTTTAATAATTCCTAATCATTTTTTATTCTAATTTAATTTGTTTTGGGTTGAGCTCGGATTAAGGAAGTCATAGCAAAATCTAGAAAATCTTGAATTATATTCGTACACGTATTCAGATTGTACGAGCAGGAGGAGAGAAGAGAGGGCAATTTAGCTAAGACCTTAATTATTGTTTAGTTTAATCGGCGTTGCGAACGACTGGCATTAGCCTACATATGTGTGTAATTTGAAACCCCTTGCCACCCCAGAGAACCCCCTTTCCGTTTTAAAACCCAATCGGGCTCCAATACAGACTCTTATCGCCGTCAGAGACTCAATAACGTGCCTAATGGCAGCCGAGCGAGCTCCCAACCGTCGCTGATAGCACACACGGCGTATGATCAATTTTAAAATCGGCAAACTCAGTGAAAACATACGAAATCGAAACCGAATCCGAAACAATAGCTGTACACACAGTGTCCACATGCGACAAGAGCAATTAGCAAAAAAAAAAAAACAAAAACAAAATACAATTGAAGGCAGAAGAAAATAAAAAGTGAATCAGCGAGATATCAGTTGTTGTTACTCCTATTCCCAGTAGTTATCAGCGTACAAGGGTATATGGCATTCGTGTAAATTACATATATTTCAAACAAGGAAGCGTTGACAATAAAAAATAAAGGACCAGCAGACCACAAAAAGCTCTGGGGACAAAAAAAAAAAACAGTAAGTTCTCTAGGAAATTATAAAAAAAACTCTATTCGGATATACAACTTAAAATTGTTAACCTATTCTTTTTTAAATACTGGTAATTTCGCAGTTGATATAGCGTTCCAGCCTGAAGCATCGTTTAAATTTA